AACTAGTATCTTGAAACTACGGGTTTTTTTTTGGAAACAAATAATACCGAAAAGTTCACTTTTTGACCACAGCTTGTTTAAGTATAATAATGCAAATATTCGACGAGATTAAATTTTTTTCTGTTTTAATCAAATATTTATCATGTTTTTAAGTACTTAAATTTGTCACTTTATTCGCACAAAAGTTCATATTTAAAACGGCGTTTATGGTAGACCCTTTGAGAAATTACGTTACGCTTGATGAAGGATGGACACTTGCGTCTAGCAGAAAGGAACCAAGCCGCATCATCTATTGCCAAATTAAACTGGGCACTTTAATTTTTTTGAAGAGAACGTTTGTGCAGATTTCTTTGAACATTTTCAGGAATTTACTTCGTACTATACAGAAGATTCACTAAAATTCGCTCGAAAATCCGGAGGACCATTTTCATGTAAAAACTGAAATTGCACAACTGAACTTGGCAAAAGCTGATGTGGGTTGGTTCCTCTTTGCTTGGCGCGGCCCATTTTAGATTTCATAACCTGGCATGACAAAAATCGCTCGCCCTCTGCCGACAGGGTGTCTACTAAAACAGGCTAATCAAAAATAAGTACTTTTACAGTACTTTTTCAGAGCATTCTCAAGAAATTCAGTACCTCCCCCAACAGAAAAATTCCGTACTTTTTCAGTACCTCCATTTGACGAAATTCGAAAAATTTCAAAAATTTGAAATTGCGACCAAAATGACAAAAAAATTCCGGACCTTTTCGCAGAATTTCCGCACTTTTTCAGTACTTCCGGACCGCCCTTAAAAAAATCAGTACTATTTCCGGACTTTCCGGATATTCCGGACTTTCCGGATATTCCGGACTTGTAGACACCCTGACTTAGCGAAAGCTGATGTGGGTTGGCTCCTTTCTGCTTGGCGCGTCCCAATTTAGATTTCGTAACCTGGCATGACAAAAATCGCTCGCTCTCTGCCGCGCTGGTAAAAATAGTAGCTTGGATCAAGAGTCCAGACTCTTAAAAACATTGGCAAGAAAAAATACTCTTGATTCAATCGGATTTTTCCTTGAATCGAAGAGCCAAGCCTCTTGATTTAAGCGGATTTCCATTTGAATCAAGAGTAGTTTTTCTTGTCAATGTTTTTAAGGGTCTGGACTCTAGATCCAAGCTACTTTTTTTACCGGTGCGAGAAAACAAAATACGAGAGGAAACTAGGCAACGTTCGACGTAGTTAGGCTCATTCTGGTCGAAGGCCGTTGAAAAACACGTGTTACTTTTAAAGTAAAACAATAACAAGGTTCCGCGATCCGGGTCGGACACGCTCCCTTTTCGGGAGGCGGCATTCATCCACGTCTCCGCGGAGGCGGGTCCGGCGCGGCGCGGAGCCGGGGTGGCGCCCGCGTTTGCGGAGACAAAGTGGCACTGAATAATAGAGGCGCAGCGACGGGCGACGGGCGACGGGCAACGGGCGCCGGCGAAAACAACGTGTCCCTCCAGGAGCAGGCCCGTTGTCCCATTCGATCTAAGTCGTTTATGAAGATCGAGGCACTTTAATCCGGAACACTGCTCCGGCTCATTAAAACAAGCTCCCTTATAAGCACGCCCGCGTTGCCTTCTATCGCGAAAGCTGCAGCGAAGAGCCAGGAGGAACTGGATTTCGGGAGCAAAAGCATACTGCCTGTAAGTTCTAGGAGTCTTGCCACGTCTCAGCTACTCTCAATTTGACAAGTCAGTTTTAAAGTACATCCTCTCGAAACCTCGACGCGATAATCCACCCATCGAAACTTACGGTTCTCAAAACGCCTTCAATTGTGGCGTGATACTGCACGCTTTCCTGAGAGCACGAATAGTTGCGTACTCGCGCCTTTCGTCACTCAGCTCCGATTTTATTTTCGGAGCGCATACCGTGGCTTACGTATAACGGCTGTGTTCGATTTCTCTGTGCCTCACCTCGGTTTTCAATCTTTTTACGGGTGAAAAATTCTTATTTTTGGTTTCGTGAGAAAACATCAGCTAAGTATGCTAATTTGACTCACGTAGAAAGCTTTGAGTTCCTTGTGAGCGAGCAGTTCAAATTCCTCGTAACCAACGTGAAATAAAAATGTTAATATCTCCGTTCGGAATCGGTTTCAGTAATTTTCGTTGCGCGAATTGTGTTCTACGTGAAATTCTGGCCAAGAAACATGTATCAGAATGCTTAAATTCGTACCTTGTCTAGTGGTCCATACAAGGACAAAACCTATAAAACCTGTTTCAGAAAAATGCTTATCCTCTGACGCCGTTTCTCATGATTTTTTCCTGTCTAGTCTCTTTTCATTAAGGGTGCACGGTGTAGAGAAATATAATCTTTTAACTTATCGCTTTTCTCGGTGACACAGCGGTAAGGCTCCCTTATACACAATCCAAGAATACTCGGCCAAGGCGGCACCGTCGCTCGTGTCTCAGTTTGCCAACTTCTTCGGGAGCATGGTTAAAAATTAAGGCGCTCTATCTGAGTCTGTCTTAACAAGGGCCCTGTTAGCTAGTTGCTCAAGAGCTCGGTTCCAGGTTGTCATGTTTTACGCGCGCATTCCGTCTTCAATTAGTGCTAACTGTTCGCAACGAGGGGTTGCGGGGGCGCGTCTGTCTCTGTCCCCAGATTGTCTGCTGACTTCTGCACAGCAACCCCCCCCCCCTCCGCCTACAAGGCTCGCACGCAAGGCTTCTTGTCACTTATTGTAGTCCACCCTGCGGGCAGATTATTGAAATTTGTGAACAAAGCTATAGACAAAGAAGACAAAAGGGCTTTGGAGGGATCCTATTGGTGGAAGTGAGTGGTTACAATGGACAAAAGGCGTTCTTGTGGTATACATTTTTTTCCAAAAACGCTTTCCCTGGGAGCCACGGTCCCCAAAAGTTGGAGCATAAAAATCGTCTCTCTAACATTGTGACAATGTTAATTTTTTCAACCAATATTAATGAAAATTGGTATATGAGGGTAATTTTTAGCGCTTCTTTCATTTTTGACCTCCAAAAAGGGAAAACAAATTTTGAGGGGGGGTTGAGGGGGATTTGAACCTACAAGTGGCCAAAATTAATGTTTCCAGCGACAAAAATTGATTTTTGACGGCACCATCACATTTAGCGTTGAAAAATATTGAGAAAATGTATCTAGCGTTTTTTCGCTATGACTTATCGTTTCCGAGATAATAAGGACTGAATGGAGCGCTAGAGGGCGCGAATGGGGTGGGGGGTGGGCTCCAGGGAAAGCGTTTTCGGAAAAAAATTTAAAACGCAAAAATGTCTTTTTTTTACCCAAAGAAACATCCGTACTTAATCCTGGGCCACCCTGTATATTCTAGGAACGTTTCGAGTCATGATGCTAGTTCGGTCTCCTTCAAAATGATAAAATAGGATAGCGATTATCAGACATCGCAATCGAGATACCCGTTTTTGCAGTCTCATCGTCGATATAGAAGAATCGATATTTATCGAAACAGACTGCCTGGCCGAAAATCGATGATTTAAAATGGATTTAAATGGAGGAGGAAACATCGGGAACTTGCAGGCGAAGTGCGGCCGAAACTGCTCGGGAGTTAGCGGAGGGATTCGCGGAAGCCCCGGCGAAGATCCGGCTGGAAAGTTCGGCTCGGCTTTTAATTATTGTGTCTCGGAGACTCCGCTCTCGTGCTCGCAGAGCCGGCGCAACAATCCCAGGAATCGCTCCGGGATTGAATTTCATTCTTCTCGCCGATGCTCTCCAGTGGCGTGGCGTGAATTGCGATGTATCGATTGTTATGCCATTTAAACCTATGGTAAAGAATCGATTATTAAGGTGTTCGCTGCGAACACCCTGTTTATCGATTTTTTTTCATAGGTTTAAATGACATAACAATCGATACATCGCAAAGCACGCCACGCCACGCCACTGATGCTCTCCCTCCACGATCCCGTCTCCGCGAAGGAGGGAGAACGAGAGATGAAAAATGGAAAGAATTAATTACGGTGACTAATTATCGATCAATTGCACCTTTTTGCGGTTGTTTCCTCGAGTTTTGATCATTTTGTTGCGAAATTTATGGAGGGATCCCTCAGCGAGAATTGTACTCAAGGAGTGTCCATTCGGTTAAAATAAAAGTAATTTCTGTAAGTGAGAATTCTCGCCTTTCGGGAATTCTTCGCTTATTTGAATCCATTAATTCTAGTCTGACAGGCTTAGATTGTAGGATTCCTATCATAAGTCAGATGAAAACAAAATAGGAAGGAGAGGAAAAACAAAGAAGAGACTAAAAGAGAAGAAGAGAAAAAAAGGAAAAAAATAATCAGGCGAAGCAGACCAAGAGGAAGTAAAATAAAAAGAAGATAAACTAGAAAAGGAGAAATAAGCATACTTTTTCTCGTGTTCTTCTTTCTCTTCTCCTTCATCCCAGTCTTCTTTCTCTGCTTCTTTCTCTTTTCCTTCTGCCCTTTTCCTTCTTTAAAATGTGCAACACAATTTTTCCTAAAAAAAACCTACGGAAATATGCCCAACTATTAATTTTGTTTAAAAAAGGGTAAGGATGAGGGGAGGGGAGGGGGGGATCGAAGATCAGGGGATCTTCAATAACGCCAAAAAATTTGCTAAAATTGGACATACTGAAAAAATTCACATGCAGAAATCGCTTTTGGGACATTTGTTGGCCATCGCAAACTACTCATGCCTCGAAAAACTAACAATAGAAAAAAAACTATGCAGCGCATAGAGATGAGCGGCATGGCAACAAACAGGTATAATTGAAATTGCGGTGGTTCATTCTCGGTATATAGCTCTTACCACTCATTTCAAAAACATTTACTGATATTGGACGACCTGCATATCGAGTATTTAATTAAGATGGACACACGAATTGTGTGCTTCAAGTGGACTTTTCCGCAACGATTTTTTTTATTTTTATTTTTTTTGGCGTTAAAAGGCAGCGGTCGAAAGGTTTCATCAGACATTTTGTACATGATACATTTAAAATGATACAAAACACATTCCAAATATCACACTCACCAGCATTGTTCCGTTGCCGTTACGACATTTTGGATTGGTACCATCATTGACGGTGATAAGTCCTGGGAGGTTGTCGGGCTATTCCCATCGAAGACGCGCTTTCTCAAGACGACAGACACCACCGGACACGAACACTCAGGGGTCCAAACCCCAAGGGGGGCAACGCACGAGCCCGACCAACGGGGTCAAAATCAAGATCCACACCGACTCCGCACCACTGATTATCCTGAAACATAATTCACAACATCAATTAGACATGCACCACTAGACCACTAGACGGGCTGAAACATTAAACAGGCGTTAACAGTTTTAAAAAAAACACACAAGTATTATAATTGAATAACAAATTATATCAATAAAAAGGAGAGACATAAATATGTTTCTTATGTAAAGGAGAAATCTTCAATATTTATTTTAATAGTTATGATAGTAACCATGACCTATTATGATAGCTTCAAACTTAATTAACATGGCTACAGGATTGACTAAATTAATAACAAACAGCTCTTTTTTTTCTTTTTTCTTTCTTTTTTTTTTTTACAACTGTTCTAATTATATTTCAACGGTGACGAGATGTGATCCGTCCGCCGCGTGTATCCAGCCCCCCTGCCTGAAAACGACGAAAAAAATTGTAATACTTAATCCGAGAGTGTTTAATAAGCTGAGTTCGCATTATCATATCATACTCTGTAATATGAAATCATTAGAGTAACGCGTAACTCATAACGCCTGAGGCGCAAGACGCCTTTGAGCGGTTGGACTGCGAAGCGATCATGGGGCGTACCCCCTAGTTCTTTAAAATTACTATTGATCTTTGACCTAACATCGTAACATGTGATGAAAGAATAATTGACGCCAGTCCTGAAGATTACTGCGTTCAGAGGCTCGTGAGTGAGTCCAAAACAAAATCGCCTTCAACTCGCAGAATAGGCAAAACGAGCTCCTAGGAGTTCGAATAGTGGTATTACACGGTTCGTTCTCTGTAGGATTTTGCAGCGATAAAATGTACCGCTTCGTGGCGTTATTAGGCGGCACTTCCTATTTGAACACATGTACTTTGGTAGATCAAATCCTTTTGTCATATCTCCTCCGATAATTGTTCAATTTAGAAACTAATCTTGTTTTCATACTCAGTTTACTCGGTTTCCTCTTAATCCTCAATTTATTAATAGACACCTGCAAATTCTGATTTTCACTGATATCAGTTGGATCTCTGATGATATCAATTGAATCCCTCCACCACAACTTCAAATAGGGAAATATCAATAATAGATCATTCACGTCTCGCGACTGTTCGCTTAGAACGAGATTACAAAATGGAGTCCTTTTTTGACCAAAGCACAATTGGACCGAGTTAAATAGAAAGGAGCCAAGCCACATCAGCTGTTGCCAAATTTAATAGAGCAATTTAATTTTTTACGTGGAAACAGTTATGCGAATTTTTGTGCAAATTTCCGTAGAAATTCTCCATATAGTTTAAAGCAAATTCCCTGAAAATTTTAAAGGAATTTGCACAAAAATTCTCTCGTCAAAAATTTAATTACCCAGTTAAATTAGGCAATAGCTGATGTGGCTTGGTTCTTTTCTGTTAAACTCGGTCCAATTATTAAACGCAGACATCGGTGCGGTCAAAAAAACGCAACCACGCACTCAAGCTCCCCGATAGCTTCACGAACCACACTCGGCGTAATCTAATGCAGGGTGTAATAATTTCATCATCGACGATGCGGCCGCTAAGAGAGCCTCGCTATGATCCCCGATCCCTGTTCTCACTCCTTTTTACCCTCCTTTTCACCCCTTTTCCTTCGGTAAAAAATGTTGCAATAATTTATCATCGCCCAACTTTCTACCCTCCGCCCTTCCGCGGTTCCCTCAAAATTAGACGCCGGCATTGCAGGAGACACTCGGAAAGGAAACTTTTCTCGCTCCTTTTTTTCTTTTCTTTTTTTTAAATTCCCGTGAAATAAATTTCAGTTAACCTGTCTCCCTCGCCGAGCGCCGGGACTCTCCGCAACTTTCCCCCGTTTCTCTTGCCGAAAAATGTTAATAAAATTCCTCTAACGATTGTCTCAGCGCTCGGTGCTTTTATCTCCGCCCCGATAAAAATGGAAGTTCGCTCCTGTGTGCTGCCTTCCTAGGGAACAACGCCATATAAGCATTTAGGCGTCGCCAAATTTACTCCATTAAGATACAAATTTCGTGGAAAGCCTGTAATTTCTACACTGATACGCCTATTCTACACATTTTTAGTGAATTTTATTCGCAGTTTTATCCATTATATCGTCATTCTCCAGAACGTAACTACATTTCAGTGTTGCCAAATTTTTCCAAGGAGAATCTTAGACATTTCTAACCAAAAATTTCAATACGAATTCTGACCTCATGCAAAAATCTGGAAAATGTTGGACGAAAACTGCACAGGAAGATTCCTGTAAAAAAATGAATCACTGAGAGTCAACTTTGCAACCTTGCAATGGAGTTACGTTCCTTTGCAGGGGCAAAGATGATATCTCAGAATTGAAAGGGTGAAAATTCCCAGCTTTTTACAAAGGTATATTAAATAGAAAGAATTCGGCGACCATCAAATTTGCGAATAATGCGTTCTTCTTTAGCGCGGAAGTGTGAAGGATGATAGCTTCTTGCTATCGGAGTTTGGGTGAAAATGAAGCTACGAACTGCCGTGCTGGTGTGGAGGGGAAAAATATAGCAGGAATCTGTTGCACATACGAGACGCAGTGATCTAAACAGCTTTTGCATTTCGATGGCCAAAGTGCGAGATCACGTATCTCCGTTTGCGACATCGCAGACTTCCCGCCATACTTTATTTTTTCCTAGGATTACACTAGTTAACGTAATTTCTTGAAAACTTCCTTGATTTTTCTTTGCTGTTAACAAAATACTCTGTATTTTCAAGCTATAAAGTTTACTTATTTCTCATCAAAAAGTAAACCAGGAGCGGAGATTTTGAAACTCTGCAATGGAGATACATAGTTTTGCACTTATCGATATGCTCATCCTTGGGGGAATGTGCCCTAATCCACAAAATCTTGACGTTAAGTCATTGATGCAAGCCTACAGAAAGGCGTTATGCACACTTAACGATGGTTGAACGAACTGCAATACTAGAATTACTGAACGACACTTTTGAATACTCAAAGAGGGCAAATTAATTGCACTAGATTTCTTTCAACAATGGAGAAAAAGTGCACAAATTTCCGAAATCTTAATTTCGTGATAATTTTCATGATTTTAGATGATTTGAACTAGTTTGTGGAACGCTTTGACGTGCTCACCCTGAGACATCCCGTCGAAAAATCGCTCGCTGGAACGGGTCATTGGGAGAAGTTGGACATGAAATTTGTTTTATTAAAACTACAAATTTTCATGTTTATTCCATCATACAGTAAATTGCAGACAGTGGTTATAAAGAAAATTTACGAGAAAACCAACGGAATTACTTCTAAAATTATTTATTTTGTATTGATAAAAATAAGAGCTTTTTCAAATTTCCACATCAAGTCCAACTTATTCCACTTGCCCGTTCCGCACCGTGCGTCGCACAGTAAACTAAGTCACTTAGAGAGGTTGGACATGAGATAATTTACTATAACTGCAAATTTATATACGTTTATTTAGACATATTTTAAATTTCAAGGAGTGCTTTCAGTAGAAAATTGCACGCGGAAACCAACGGAACCACTTTCAGAGCCTCAAAGTTATGTATGCACGGAGTTATAAGCGTTTAAAGTTTCCAAATTTTGTCCGACCTCTCCTATTGACTCGGTCCACCGTGCGTCGGTGCGGGTTTTTCGAGGCCCAATGCGTTCGGGCACGCTAACCGGCTCCGTTCCCGTCACAGATTGACAAACATAATTAATGGAGATGCAGACGCGGCCGGCTCAAAGCGGGCTCCCGCTTGAGCGAACGTCAAAACTCGGGCGGAATCGAAGATGTAAGGGGCACAACACCCCGCCCCTCGCCCGTCCGGTCGAGGGAAAAAAGGTAAAAGTGTCGAAGCTCGTTTCCTCTTGACGGGAGGCTTGCTCGCCGATCGTTTTTCTCTTTTTTTTTTACCGGGAGTTTTATTGCTTTTTGAAGACACCTCCGACTCGAGTCCCGCCAAGTTTCTCACCTCTGCACCTGTCCGCTCCAGATTAGTGGCCTTTCCCGGAAATTTATTCGTCTCCCATCGGAAAATATTACGCGGCCGAGAGGCGGAGGGGAACAACACTCGGAAAAATAAACAAGGAGAATTGTCCTTGCCCCAAAGAGAGCGTCCATACTGCCGTGCTAAGGGAAAACGTTGTATGAGCATTCAGACGTTGCCAAATTCCCTTCAATAAAGATCAAATATACTGAGAAAATTGTGAAGATTTTTCGAGGGGAACAACACTCAGAAAAATAAACAAGGAGAATTGTCCTTGCCGCAAAGAAAGCGTCCATACTGCCGTGCTAAGGGAAAACACCGTATGAGCCTTCAGACGTTGCCAAATTCCCTTCAATAAAGATCAAATTTACTGAGAAAATTTTGAATATTTTTCCTCAAAATTTTTAGTCAATTTTGTTCACGATTTAATCTAAAATATCTGAACATTTTAAAGAAGGATATGCATGACTTTCCTCAAAAATACATGTTTTATTCGGGGAAATTTGGCAACTCTCGAATGTTCATACGGCGTTTTTCCTTAGCACGGCAGCAAAGTCTACGTGAGTTTTTGAGAGAAAAATATCAAGTGTATTCCAATACTTTCAAGTACTTAAGTTACATTCCTTGCACAAGGGTTGAAAAAATACTTCTTTTGTTTTATCTTGGGGGCTGTCCCTTAAATTATGTTATGCGATTTACTTGATATTTTGACACCCTTCCACCCCTTGTCACACTTGGCCACAAAGTTATGAAGATCCATCCACCCTCTAGAGCATTATTACGTAATTTATGGACAGCCCCTTGGATTATTAGACCTTGTTTACTCATTCAATACCTATACCTTCACTGAAGCCCTGATCTGCTTAGAAATAAAAGGGCTAGAATTTCCTCAGAAATTTAAAAAACTTGAGTCGATTGTCAAGAAATCTAGTTTAACAGAGATTTACCAGGCCACGTCGCATTTTAGAATAAAATAAGTTGGGAGAAGCCGAAAATTCAATTGATCGTAAGTTTTCACCGGTCAAAAATTCGAAGCCAGTCAATATTTTGACCGTGAAAACAGTTGTTAGGCTTAGTTT